CCCCCCAACCCGCCCCGGCTAGACAAGCCCAGCTAGCCTGAGCCAAAGTGACTGCTGGCATACGTGGGCATCGCTGTGTAACCCGCTTCAGCAGTGTAACTCCCAGCAGGATGTGGAGCTGCCTGTGATTTTATATATATATACACACACCACAGACATCCTCTGCTAAGGCGTTCCTCGCCCCAGTAAAATACTTGGGCCCTTCTATTTCAGTTGTGTAAACCATGCTGCTCTTTGTGACGGATCTTATGATGCAAAGTATGGAATTTGGTCCTAATTTCTTGAGGATACGTTAACTGAGCTTATGTTATTCCTTTGGTCCAGGTAGAGATCTTACAACCCAAAGAAGATGTCAAGACGCAGGTAAACCGTTAGCATTGTAATACACTGAGCTTATCTGTATTCATCTAGCAACTGCTGCTTTCCTAACATCTAATGTCTTTTTGCTTTCTGCAGTAGCCGGTTGCAAGCCAAGCAGCAGCAGCCACTGTCATGTCAAGAAGAGTCTCCAGAAGAACTGCAGGCACCAGAACATCTCCAGACCAGAAAAAGGAGAACAGCAGAGGTGACCAGTTTGGGCAACTTGAAAAGTTTAATAATATTGAAAGTTCTCCAGTGCATTTCCTTGGGAGAATCTTTACTCTGCGGAGTTAGAAAGTGGGGCAGGAGTGGCAACACTAGCTTTAGAGGTGGGTGTGCTGGTCATTGTCAGTGTATTGATGTGTCTGTCTCTTCTCAGCAGGAGATTAAGAAAAGAGAAGATGGAAAAATTGCTAAAAAGCATCAATATGAGATTAAGGTAATTCAATCCTGATTACTGGTTCAAACTAGGTGAGGGAGTCCATCTGGTTTGTGTTGATGGGTGTAAAGTCATGTATTCCACACTAGAAAGCATTGAATAGGGGAAGTTTCTACCTTCAGATATTAAAAACTATGTGAGCTTTGCACCTTAGCTTCTTTTTAGACATTTTTGCTTTTTTACGCATGGCTTTGTTGTAGATAAAGGGTCCTTCAATGTGGAAACCACTGCAGAGTAAGGTTAGGTGTAAAAATGAGAACAAACTCAGGTATTTCAATAATTTCACATGCAGAGCAGGTAAGGCCTAGAGGCAAGATCATTGCACTTGTTTTAACTTAAGGTGTGGTTTCACGGCCATTTAGTTAAGACTCATAACCATGCAGGCCCTCTTTACTTTCATTTAACAGTTCTTTTGATTATTTTAATCAATTTAGGAATCTGTTTTAACTAACATAGGATACTCCTAAACCAAGTGTGGGGCTTTACAGTTGTTTAACTTAAAGCAGATTAGTAAAATAATGTAGCTTTCTCTTGCAAACAATCTTGTTTGCAGTTATTCTGTTTGTAAAGCAAATGAGACTAACAGCTATGGCGAAGCAAAACTCTTCTGATTGTGAAGTTGTCTTTGCAAACTTTGTATAGGGAAAAATGCTGTGTAAGTATGTCAGCTGTACTCAGGGTGAAATTGTGTGTCACAACTTACCTTTGCTGAAAGAGGGAAATCCTGCTCCCCTTTCCTTCCTTCATAGCTGGCTACGCACTCCATCCCCTGCCTTGCTCCGTTTTTAGTTCTCTTTAAATGAAGCAGTATGCAGGTTCAGCTTGCTAATTAATGTTCTGCCAGGTTAGTGAGTTGAATCAACCCAGCAGAGAGTCTGACAAGCCCCAAAGCTGACAGAAGAAGGAAGGGGTGGGACTTGGGCAGTGGGGATCACAGGAGAGAAGAAAGAGCAGGATTTCCCTTTTTGCATGGCTATGTGCCTGTTGAGATCAATTCTGTTGAAACATGTAACTTCGCTCTTTAGTCTGGCCATAAATAGATTTAGATATGCTAAGGAAATTGTATGCAGTTTACCTTACCAAAACAGCTATATAGGAAAAGTTGCTGTGTTCAGGGGCAGGTATTGCCATTCTTTGGGAGTGGGATAACCTCTAAATCCACAGAGCATAATTAAAGTTCTGTGTCACCATTTTGAAGGCTGTCAGCCATTACAGCATTGCATATGCTCCATGCATTTGATCCAACCTTATTTCTATTTGTTATGTACAACCAAATAAGTGTTAGTGAAACAAGTTACAGAGTTAACTAAAGTCATCTAGAATTCCTTCTTCAAAGCTTTTTGCATGAATAACTTTGGACTCTTCTCCTTTTGAGTCATTACATCCCATATTTGGCATTGGCAGGCTCAGAGATAGTTCGCAGCTGCTGCTTGCTCAGTGGGTATCTAGTGCTGGAGCTGAGATGGGTGGCTCCTCTCTGGGGTGCTTAATTGGAAGATAACAAGTTGCTGAATTTCCACTGAGAGACAGTAGAACCTCCACCCTCTCCTTTCTTTTCCCTCTGAGTAGATAAGTAGATAGGACCAGCAAGCTCATGTCATGTGTTTTAGTAGCAATGAGTACCTTTTGCCTTCTGTACTGTAACTGAGCAGCTCAAGCAATGGATAGGTTACTTGTGGGTTCATAAACTAAAGTCAGTGGTCTTCCTCAAAGCTGAGTTTTCCAAATTTCCCAAATTTGTTTCTAAGTGTTCCGCCTTGACTCTGAAAGGCTTTGTTGGCATTTAATCTCTCTGTCTTCCTTGGTTTCAGTACTTGAATCGATGTTGAGGTCTAGAAAGACTAACATACATTACATATATTGTTGTTACTGTAATGTACTACTTGCCTTTCTTTGCTCTCATAGTAAAATCAGCATTTAAAAGATACCTTGTTTATGTTGCAGAGTTGTTGGCCGCCCACGATAACGGGAGGCATCTCGCCTTGCATAATTATTGAAACGCCTCACAAAGAATCAGTAACCACTGACTTCTCAAGATTCAAAAAATACAGGTTCAGAAACCTCTTCATAAATCCATCACCTTTGCCAGAACTCAAGTAAGTTTACCAGATGCAGCGGTTGTTGATGTTTTATCAAATATGCTGAACTACTGTGGTAAAATCTGTTGTTGTACTGTCTCCTATTATACAAACACAATACTCGATCCATATTTCTACTTGTCTCTTCATCCCACAAACAATTTGATGTCCAAAACTGACAGATTTTGTCTGTGTTTTTCTTTCCTCCCCAATCTTATAAACGCACTGGACAGATAACTTTCACCTTCCAGAGCTGTCCTTTTATAACTTGACATTGGAGACTTTAAGCGGTTAAGAGGCACACAGTGGTTAAACTAAACTTCTTTCAGTGCTATTGGAACTGAGTGACCAAAAAATACTAAGCAAAGTTTTCTTTAAGAACATAAAAATGTACGAATACACAAATAAACTTGTGGCAATAGTGCTGTGCAGGTAGCTTGCTAATGCAATGCAGTATGCTTGGTGCAGTCACGGTTCTAGAAAAGGTTCCCTTCTGCAGAGGGATAGAGTAGCTGACTAAATTGAATTTTTCAATTTCTAAATTCCTTAGCCATTCAGGTGTGTTGGAGAAGTACCCCTGTTGCTGTTTGTATCAGCCTGGTGTTTAATGAAGAGTTGTTAAATTTACTGCAATGCCTTAGGGAACGTTTCTGCAGAGGTGAATGAGAAGAGAAGCAAAACATGAAGCATTTCTTAGAGAGCCTTTCTAGATACACTATGTTTTTATTTGTTCTGGCCAAAACTTGATCAGAACTGGGAGATGCTGCATGGTGATGTTTTGTCTCAGTGCAAAGCCACAGGTCTCTTAGTCTTTTTCACTGAATTTCAAACTCAACTGCTCTTCCTTCTCAGTATTACTCCCAAGCTTGCTGAACTGTTCTTTCAAGAACAGTAAGCTCTTCTCTATACCTAGCAAATCACATTTTTGTATGTGTTAGAAAGCTTAGTGCAAAGTAGTTTTTTTAAAATAATAATAATAACGATGGTGAATGAGGGAATCTCATGCACTCCTTTAGCAAGTTGTTGGAAACTGCTGGATCCCAAAGATATGTTCAGAAACAAAATTCCATGCAAGGAGTTTGATCCTTGATGTTCACTTCTTGTCAATAGGCATCTGGTAACACTGAGCTCCATCATTTCTGATTAGCTGCATAAGAGGATAATTTACTCTCTCCTGCTTTCCTAACTGCTGCAGGATAGGAGATTTCTTGATGCCTGGCCACTTAAATGGGGAGATTGTGCATTAAACAAGCAAGTATCTCTCCAGCTTTTAACTTGTGATGGTAGCAGAATGAAACTGATCTGGGTTAGAATTTGTAGGTAATACCAGTGATCAGGTCTGTTTACCTTTCTCAAGCAGAAGCAGAGAGACATTAAATATATAACTCCAAAAATTTCAGTAGGAAATCAGCATGGCATTGGTTAACTTGCTGTCCCCCTTAGTAACTGCAGGATGAGAAGTACACCTAAGACAAAACCCCACATCAATTCATAATAACAATAATTACAAATGAAAACCAAGCAATATTACTGATATAGGCATCATCTTCTAATGAATTATAAGTATTATGAATCTGCTAATGAATTATAAGTTAGCAATGAACAAGAACTCAGTTTTTCTCACAATAGCCTGTTTCTGAGCCTTAAGGGAGGCTAGAAAAGGAAAGGATGGATGAGTGACTTTTAAACACCATCTGTAAATGTTTTTCCCAGAATAAACCGGACAACTTCATGTATGTTTTGTGTTTCTTGGGGAGTGGGCTGGGTTTTTTTTTTCTTTTTTTTATGGGGAAGGTTATGTTTTTTATCTTGTTCACCTAACTAGGCAAAATAGGAAAGTCTGGTTGTGTGTGCAACTTGGGGATGTGCACAGTTTTATTGGCTGTTCTGTAAAACTGGACATGCTGATGGTCTTGGCAAGCTGCTGTTGTGGTGATGTAAAATGCTCAAAGTATACCTGCAGTTTTCTAATTACCATAAGGATTTTTCTTTTTGTTCCTGACTATCTGTAAACAATAAATAATGTTTTTATACTCCTTTTGTGAAGGTGTATATATACTTAACAATGCTTTGTATAACTTTTTTCCATAGCTGGGGAAATTCCAAAGATGTCTGGCTCAACATCCTGAAGAAAGAGAACAGATACGCTCATTGCAAACATTTCACATCACTACATTCTAGTTTGCAACCTCACATGAGATCAATACTACTAGACTGGCTCTTAGAGGTGTGTTCTTTTAGTTACTTTGCCATGTGTTATGCCTGTGAAGCAGGCAGATAAAAGTACAGCTTTTACATAAAGATCTGATAGCAAAATGTATGGTAATGATAAACGCTAAAACTAGTTTGCAACAAAAGGGTTACAAGTTACTGTTTTTGATCCTCTTGGTGAGCTACATTCAGTCTTCCCTGGCAGGAGATCTGAACCTTCCACACAGGACCGTGAGCAGCAGCATGATTTTTGCTCTTGCTATACATGGGAAGGGGAGAAATCTAGATTTGAGATACTTGTATTGAAATAGGCTCCATAACTAATCTGTCTGTAGCTCCCTTTACATGTCAGCATGTATCTAAGCCGTGAGACAACTGTATCTGTACTGAGGACTTACCACCCTGGCCCTGTCTACATCAAGAGCTCTTAGATGTCAGTGCCTAACACTATTTTCTAACTTATTAGTGAATTTTTAATTCTATCCTATGAAGTCAGCAGAAGCAAGTAGTGCATTGGTGGCTGACATCTGAAGGGTCTTGATATAGACAGGTTCTTATTTGAAAAGGATTACAAATAAATCACCCATATTCCAGTCTAATTATTGTACTTCAGAGAATTCCAGTTGCCAAACAAAATGGAAGCTCTCAATCTTGGCAGCCTATGTGAAGGAGTATTAGTGTTGTAAATAGAGAGCTATGTTCTGGAGGCGTTTCCAAGAACTCTATATTGTGCATATTCAATCACCACTGCCATAAGCAACCTTTGACTCATGCAATCCTTGCCCATCAGCAGAAGAGAGCTTGCAGGTTTACCAATTCCATAGCAAGTACTCCAGGGAAGCAGATGTTAGTGGCGCTCTTGCTGTCTTGGTGGAATGGTGCTAATAGGGAATTGCAAGAGAAAGGAAAGGATCATGTGGTTGGTTTTTTGGATACTTCTTTTTTTTAAATACAATCTGAATTTAAAACCTATTGTAGTTGTCCACTTCACTACTTCCTCTAATGTGTAATTTACATACCACCATTAAATTGTGTTTCGTTGCTGCTTTTTTTTTTTTTTTTTAAATCTTGAACTCTTAGGAAATCATTCGATTTCCAAACAAAAATGTCAACAAGGGCCTTGCTGTTGTTGCCCAGCTCAGTGGTTCTATATGCCACAGTGGATTAAAATCCCAGCAACTTTGAGACTCCTCCAGTAGCTCCTAACATTGTCTTCTGTAACATCATAACTGAGATATTATTTAACATGACCAAGCACTATTGCTTATGTTTGGGCAATACACTTTTACAGAAATTGTGCCATTTATTTATTGGTGAGCCTGGTCTGTACCTATTTAGTTCTGAATCTTGTTTGGAGCAGTAGTTAGTAATGTCAGTGCAGCACATCAATTGGCAAATACTAGATCAAGTCTAAAAGAATGAGCTGTGGTGTTACTCCCAGCCAGTTGCATTTTTGATGGTCAGGAAGGGTTTTAATTTACAAATAGGCTTTCAACCTTATTTTAGGAAATAGCTAGTAGTAGTGAGATTTTACTCTGTATCCAAGTGACATCATAGTGAAGCAGGGCAGGAAGCTTGGACTTGAGAGCTATTTCTTGGATATTCTTTCCTATTGACTGTATGTAGATTATAAGTAATTTATAGATATCTAATTAGTTTCTAGTTGTGGAAGGGATACAGAGTTGCAGATAAGCTGGACTTGCGGTAGACCCACCCGAATTCAAGAGTTTAGAGGAAAAAGTAGCCCCGTGTGTAAGATCTCCAGGCCTGGACAGTCTCCTTGCCTTTTTTTGTTGAACTGGCATTTGAACCACTTTGATACAATGAAAGTACTAAAAGTTCTCCCTGCCAGGGAAACCCGCAACTGTAGGGAGCAGATGGCCATTCTTGCAGTTTTGTTCCTGCTTAGCGAGGCTGTCGGTGTGCCTGAGGGGCTGCAGGCAGGCTCCTGGCTTGCCAGCAGAGCCCCCTCCAGCAGGAGCTTCCAGGCTTACTTGCTGTAAAGCAAAAAACTTCAAGTTTTACCGTGGTTCTGCCCTATAAAAGGGACAGAACTGCTAGGAATACAGGCAGGATCTGCTCAGTGACTTCAGCCTGAGGTTTGAGCCCAAATTAGTGGGGTTTTTTCCCTGGGTTTTTTTTTTGGCGTGTTTTTCCCCTCAATGAGGCTTTCTTCTTTCAGTAGAAAATTGTTTGTACTCATTTTTAGGAAAAATGGATTCTGTTAAGATTGGAAAAAATATACTTTGGAAGTATGCTTGTGCATCACAGACAATCCATGTTTAGGTGGGAGCATGGGGAATACTTTTCCCAGTCCCATGCTAACAACTGCTGCATCCTAACATACCTAGGTATGTGATAGTTGGTGTGTGCAAAAGATAAAATTGTGCATACTGTGTTGTACTGTTCAAGTGTGAATATTCTAATGTGTGTACATAGAGAGTTTTAATAGAAAAATGATTTTTTTTCCTGTTGTAGGTATGTGAGGTGTATGCACTCCACAGGGAAACCTTCTACCTAGCTCAAGACTTTTTTGATAGATTCATGTTGACACAAAAGAACATTAACAAGAGCATGCTTCAGCTCATAGGAATTACCTCATTATTCATTGCCTCCAAACTTGAGGTAAGAAGCTCTGTTAGAGGGAGGAGAATATTAAGTTTGGAATAACTAAAAAGACAGTGATAACATATTTATTTCTTCTGTCTGGCTCTTTTGAACTTGGTGGTGTACATACAGCTCTGAAGGTCAGAAGGGGAGTTTTTTTCTCTTCCTTCAGTTGTGCATATGTCAATCTCTTGGAGTCTAGTCTTTGTCCTCCCTTTCCTCAGCAGCAGGGAAGGAGAGCACATAAACTTAAAAGGTATGCAAATGTGCTAGGAGTAGTTTTGTTTTGTTTTGTCTTTTTCCACATACACAGCAATTGGCAAACAATCTCAGGAATGGGTGTGGGACTTGGAACAAAACCAAGCCTAAGTCTCAAACTGCCTATACATCAGGCTGATATTCCTTTAAACCCATTTACTGGAGATTTTTTTTTTTTCTTTTAAAGATAACATAATCAGTGCAGCGATGGCAATATGATACATGGCACACTACAGCTGTGAGCTGAGAGCATATTTTTGCATGCCTCCTTTTGTAGGTCATGGTAGGTTAGACTGAGAGGAAAATTTGGGATATTAAATCTTTACACTTGGAAACCCCCCAATCTAGCTGCTGTTGTTAAGGCCAAGGTAGTGCGCTACAAGCAGTTGTCTAGCCTAAGAAAGTGCGTGGGGCTGGTAGAGAAGCAGTTCTGCTAGCAAATTCTCTTTTACTAACACACCTACCTATGCTGGCCCCAACTGGCACGATGGGGTTGGCACATTTCTTTGTTAACTGTCTCTGCACCATGGATTTTGCCAGCTAAAGTGGCTGTGGGACTTTCCCCTTTTTCTAGCTTTTTTTTTTTTTTTTTTTTTAATCAATGAGGCTGCATCACCACTAACTGAGATGATTGTGCATAACTGGTCTCTGCAAACCTTTTCTAATCCTGTGGTGTGCTGTACAAGAATTAGGATGGTATGCGTTTTTACATCAAATGGCATAGCTGAGTAGAAAGCGGTATAAATGAAAAAAGGCTGTTCTGATTGCTTGGTCAGCATTTATTTCCCCAAAAGCTAAAGTTGTGATAAATCTACTTACATTTCATATAATGAGAATCTACTAGATCTACGTATCTAGTATCTGGTAGATATGAATTATATTTCATATAATGACAAAAACACTGTTCTAGTATAAGAAATGTTAATATTCCAATATGGACTGAAAAGTATTTGCCAGTATCTTCTCAAGCTTTCGTAGAATCATAAGGCACTCTAATCTTCACTTTTTCCCCTCCCTCCATCCCTTTAAAGGAAATCTACGCTCCTAAAATACAGGAATTTGCTTATGTCACTGATGGTGCTTGCAGTGAAGACGATATTGTAAGAATGGAACTTATAATGTTAAAGGTAATAACTTTTCTTTGCTGAATGACAGTCTAGCTGAGCCTTGTGTTTTAATGTCATTCATCTGCTTAGAAAGGGAACGTGTTTAGTACGTCCCTCTCTCTGTAAAACAAGGCAGCCTCCGTTGTACGTGCAGTGGACCTCTCGAGCCCATCTGGAGTGAAATCCCTGTCTGTTAGAAAAGGACAGGTTTCTTGTCCTTGTGTGAAAGTAAAGGCTCTTAACGGGTGCAGCCAGCCACAGGGCAGACCAGGCAGCTGCCGCTGGAATGTAGTGCACTTGCCAGGGTCCTTTGCTGTCCAGGAACATGGGCCTCCAGGAGAGCGAGACACAGAACTAACTTCTCGGTGCTCCTTATGTTGGAAAGGATCCACCTTTACTATCACAGAGTTCCTTACACATTTATACTTCATTAGTAGATAGATACCAGTTGCAGGTTCAGGCAGCTAGGCTCAGGGGAAATACTCTGATTTCCCAGCTTCCGAATGGGGAAGATAGGGGATCCAACTGCACAGGCATAGGAAAGGGGGTTGAGATAGATACACTTTGGTGCTGATAGTAACGCAGCCTGTTCAAAAAGTAGTGAGAATGCGATCCAAAAATGCGTAGTTGTACTTGAAATTGTACATTAGTGGCTTTTGAGGAGCTGTGCAATAAAACTCAGAAGGGGAGGTGTGGGAAAAGAGACCAGAGCACAAACCTATCTGTGCGTGGTTTAAGATGCTTCACTGTTTAATTTTCACAGGCTTTAAAATGGGAACTCTGTCCAGTGACAATCGTCTCTTGGCTGAACCTCTATCTTCAGGTGGATGCTCTGAAGGATGTTCCAAAAGTGCTGCTACCTCAGTATTCTCAGGAAAAATTCATTCAGATAGCACAGGTAGGTAGTAAACTGTATTGGAAAGTGCTTTTTGAAGTGATTAAAGCACAACTGAGCATTCTGCCCTAAAAGCCATTAAAGAATGGTTTCCCTTGTTTCACCTTGCCTGTTACTTTGTTAAGGAACGTTAAGACTCCCAGAGAACTTCATACTAAGTTTTGAGGAGAAGCACCCGTGTGTTTCCTGATACTTTAAGACTTTTCCGTACACTGGAAAAATAAAAATCCTTTTTTTTTTTTTTTTAATGACTACAGCAGGCAGTGGCAACAGCTCTGAGAGGAGGGTGGATAATTTAAGATAATTTAAGATGGTTAACTGTTTTTACCTCTCTGATCTGTAACAGCGTCTCTGTGTATTTGCCTAGAAGGCAGTCTGAGAAGTGTTTTGACTATCTTGAAACTACTGTGGTTCAATTTTTATGGGCATGTGTTGTGTCCAACCTACAGAGGCTTACTGAAGAGCAGACATGTCTACGTCACTGAGCTTCTAGGTAATATTTTAAGAAAATACCTTCCTGGAGCTCTGCTAAGAGTTTAAAGGTGTACTTAAATTTGTGCAAGTGAAGTGTCTTGCATGTTACTCGCTTGCATCATAACTCTGAGAGCCCCACTTTAACTGCAATTGGTGCCAAAAATAAAATAGCTGCATGCAATTGATGTGAAAAAGCAGAGCTGTGTTACAGAGAATAGACTGTAGGAGGACTGCTGTATGCATAGCAGTTTCTGAGACAGGACTATACTAAAGTATCATCATGTTAAAATTTGTAAACACTTATTTCCTCCACTCTTTATTTCCTCAGCTCTTAGACCTGTGTATTCTGGATGTGAATTCTTTGGACTTCCAGTATAGAACACTAGCTGCTGCAGCGCTCTGTCACTATACCTCACTTGAAGTAGTTAAGAAAGCTTCAGGTAAGAAGCCTTTGTAAAGCTTGGTCTTGTTAGGCTGGGAATTCTGAAAGCTGTTACATGCCTGAGGCTGCTAAGAGCGTATTGGTTTACCAGGCTGCCAAAGAGCAAAGTCTACATGGACACTAGGGCTGTTCTGTTCCACGGGGGTGCGCTGTCCCTTTGGCCTCCCCTGCCAAACAGGAACACTCATGGCCAGGGAGCTGCTGTGCTCCCCATCAACACTTTTAAGTAACAAGCACAAGGAAATGCTGGGAGTTTCGGGGAGGATGTTTCTGGATTTCTATCTGCAGTATTATTGTAATTTTTAAATTTATGTCCATATTGGAACACTATTTCTAACTATAATGCTGTGTTCTACCCTCTAGGCTTAGACTGGGACAGCATTTCAGAATGTGTAGAATGGATGGGTCCCTTTGTGAACGTGGCAAAAAAAATCCCTGTGAAGCTGAAGAACTTTAAGAAGGTTGCAGCAGAAGATCGACATAATATCCAAACACACACAAATTATTTGGACATGCTGGTAGGTGGTTTGTGGAGTTGAACGCATTACACACCCCTCCTCCTGAGGCAGCTAAGGGAGGCCAAACCCCTTTCTGCTCACACCTGGCCTGGCTCGCCTCAACCAGCCTGGTCAGTAGTGCCTAACCTTTTGTTTCTTGCTCCTGCTTGAGGATGCTGTAAACTAAAGGTGTTTTACCATAACACTCGCAGGCCACAAGCAAAGACTCAGAGTAGAAGTACTGCTGAAGTGTTTAAAAGATAATCACCTTTGTTGTGTAACCTTGCTTTGGCTTTTTTGTTCAGTATCCTAACTCTGGAGTACTTACAGTGTGAGGAAGCACTGCTGAATAGTACTAGTGAAACAAATAAGTAGAACTTGTCACAGGTAGTAACTGCCTTCCTCCTCCCCACTCCACAGGAAGAAGTTAACAGTGGAGTAGCATCTACTGCCCCAGGCCAGTTATCACCTGTGTCAACAGGAGGAATAATAACCCCTCCCAAAAGTACAGAAAAGAAATGAAATACGGACAACCAACATCACAAACAGGTTCAGAAACAGGACTTGGTGCTTCAGAAAAGACCACACTAAAGATGAATTTGCTCTTTACTGCTATTCAAGACTTGGGCAGTACAAGCAGCATCAAGCACAGAGCAGCAGCTGGAAATTGAGACCCATGTCCTCCTACAGACTTGACAGAAGATTTAGAGCCAGCATCCTTCCATGCTACCACAGGAGCCTGGACTACTTTGGTCCATTCTCAGACATGACTTTGACCATTCCTAACTTACCCATTTCAAGAACTTTTTAAGCAAACATGGCTGAGTGGCAAAGTTTGTCCACTCAACTTACATGTCAAACTTGCTTTAACTTGGGCTAGCCATACAGAAGTTAATGACAGCTTGTACATATTACCTCTTATTTTTTTTTTCCTTTTCTTGGTAAGGGCTTAAGGCCTGTCAGTCACCCATGAGCTCAGGTGCAGTATTACAGAGGTCAGTGGGTAGCAGTTTACTTCTCTGAAACCACTCTGCCCTTGCAGTACAGCGCAGCCAGCACTGTATCAAACTCTAGCTCCACATGAGGCTGATGAATTGAAGGTGGCCCTTCAGGGCTGCCATGAACTTCAGTTCTAAGTATCACTGACCTCAGGTAAGAGTACAAGCAAAGAACCTGCTGCTGAAATAACTGTAACTGGAAGTACAGTCCTTAAAGGAATGAGTTCTGTTTTATACAACCTAGCCACCAACTTTCAACAAGAACAAACAAAATGAGAACTGGAGAGGGTATGGAAAAAAGCCGCTGGTACTCTACAACCACTCACTGCGGAGCTGTACTTTATCAGTGTTTATAAACAGCATTAACTACTGTGTTTTCCTTGGACTATTCACTACCTCTGCCTCTGAGGTGCTTCACTTCTGTGATGAAGGGTCAGTACTGGGAAAGATGGGTATCAGTCCTCCCCCCACCTTCCAGATGCTCCCACCTGTGCCCCACTGCCAGGGACAAGGTTTACATGGCACTGAGCAGCCTGTGAAGCTGCACTAGAGCATCAAGTGCCACCTGCATCCACATTAAACTCGTGCTCTTAGCAAACTTGAATCCATGTCTTCTTCAAAACAAGCCATTGTGGAACCAGCTGAAGTTGCTTCCAGCCTTCTGTACAGTTTGTAAAAATAAGGGGTTTATTATAAGATTTCATCTATTTCTATAAAGAAAGATACTAGACTGTAAATGTTGTATAAAAATTTAAATGAATTTTAAAAATAAAGTCTTGAAAGATTTTTTCACTTTACACATTTTATAATAGTCTTCCAGCATTAGCCTAGAAGTAAAGTTTTGCCATTGCTTGAAGAAACTTCTTTTTTCTCCTCTGTGCGGCAAGCTGCAAGACTTCCTCAGGATTACTGGCATTCAGCTCTGTCTGCCCAATGGCTTTTATCTGAAAACCAAAGAGGAGACAGCACTAGCAGCAGTCACTCTAGTAAAACTGTCTTGTTACAAGGTATTTTCTGTAATGCTGTGCCACACCACAACCATCCGAGTACAACTTTCCATCAGCATCCCTCCTCTATTAAGAATTACACAACAAAATTAAAACCGGAAGTGGCAATTCTTTTCAAAGATGGCATCAGGGAGGAAAAATCCCCCACCCCCCCCCAAGCACCCTGCGTTAACTTACCGCTATCTGCCGCTTGTCCGTCTCGCCTCTTTTGTGGTGGAGATCTGAGAGGGAGTTAGGAAAAGACACTTGGGTAGGAGACAGACTTTTTCTGGCCATGAACATCCAGTATGAGCTCTCTGCAGTGGGACTTCTAGTGAAAGGATACATGTCAAATACTCCAAGATGGTGACATCCCAGATGTATTCATAGTAAGAATCCATGGCATCATGACTGAAAGAATACAGGTTAGATCACCTAACACATTCACATATTGTGGGTACATATTGATAAGCTTGGTTGGAACATTTACCTGTTTTGTTCCTGCAGTGCCTTAAACGCAGTTTTATAGTCTACTTCTCTGAGGAACTGGCATAAAATAGCTACCTGTAAGGAAAGGCTCACAGGTGATTTTCACAGCCTGCCTTCCCCAAATACTGAAATCTTCCACAAAATGCCTCTGTAATCCCACCCTGTTTCTAGACCTCACCAAGTGCTTGTTTCCACAGCAAGCAAGTTCTGAGCACCCGAATTTCGAGAGCATACACAGCTCATTCTGAAATACCAACAAAGAGTAGTAGCTAAAAGGAAGAAAAAAGGGTTTTACTCAACTATGCAGGGACTGACCTGGCTTCCAGGTTTCTAAATGCATTTAATAGCTCCTACAATCAGAGCCTACTTATAATCCTTGCTACTTCCTGGGGAACAAAAAAATCCCACTGACCAACAGTGGCCACCTGTGGGTATCATGAAGAACAAGGCTGGGTTCCCAATACCATTCCACAGATACCGTACCCTCTCTCAACTCTACCAAAAAAACCCCAAACCATAATAAATCTATATCCTAAGAGAAAAAACGGGACAACCCCCCTCTAACTGTTTCTACTTTTTACAACATTTCCCAGTATATGTTTGTTTACTCCTTAATTTGGGTCCTTTTAATGTCCTAGAAGCAACAATCTATTTTATTGCAGATTGCATTTACAAGGAAAGTTGGGTTCAGTTTTACTTTTTAGAAACTTCTCCTGTTTTAACATCAAAGTATTTATAAACTAATGTTTTACTTAATGCCATGTTTCACCTCTTACCTGTGTGTGACAGTTGAGTAAAGAACAACACTTGATCATTCTTTTTATCACCTACAGAATGGTTAAAAAAACCACAAGTTTTGAAGTGCTACTAATGGAACACGAACAGCAGCTTATGTTTTTTAAATACAAGGTGGCAGCTAAATAACTATTCTGACCCCCCCAACAATCCCTGGTTCTAGCACATCCACTGAACAACTGAGCTTCTGTCAGTTTGGAGACTTCACAGGAGCATGATGTGCACTACAGAACACAGCGTCGT